CAAACAATAGTTTGATTTGTACTCCAATGACACAGCGGTATGTCTGCGTACTTACAACGCTAGAATCCGGGTTTCGATACCCGTGGTGGGCAGAGCACCGATAGCCCATTGTGTAGCTTTGTGCTTAATTACAAACAATAGTTTGATTTGTACTCCAATGACACAGCGGTATGTCTGCGTACTTACAACGCTAGAATCCGGGTTTCGATACCCGTGGTGGGCAGAGCACAGATAGCCCATTGTGTAGCTTTGTGCTTAATTACAAACAAACAAACAATTCGCGCAAAACTATACAGGGGGCTGTCTTCGCTAACCGTCTCGAATTTTGAACTGACACATTAGATGGGAGGTTAATCAACAGCACCTGCCGTCAACTTTTGGACTACTATAATTGAATAGAAGTATATGAGCGTCACGTACCCAAAAGTGCATAGCGCGATTTTGCGGCAAAGGAACTCCGAACTGTGAACCCATAGGTCCATAAATAGGTACTTTAGCCACGCTTGGATCGTTTATGATTGGGAAACTACTTTGGCAGTTGTCAAATCATTCTCCATCCATTGCAAGAGAAGTATATATTCATACGGAAAGGAAATTGAGTAATGGAGAGAGAAGTATTCAATCAAACAAAGTTAAAATATACTGTGAGATAAACAATGGTAAATATGACACTTCTTCAAACTTCATAAATTTATAGTTTATTTACAAATTTCGAGGGCAAATGTAACCACTGGTAACAGGGGTATTTTCATAATCACGTTACAACGCTAGAATCCGGGTTTCGATACCCGTGGTGGGCAGCGCACAGATAGCCCATTGTGTAGCTTTGTGCTTAATTTGGCAGCAACCAGATGTTAGAAAACCCATCACTTTTACTATTTCAGAGTAAATGTCGTAGTCATTCGGCGCCATTTTTAAAACATAAACCTCACTCAGGTTTCAGTTTCGGTATTAGAGCTGATGCTAACGTTATCGGTAACTGAATTAGGCTTAATAACCTATATAATATATATACACCACCATGGGTCAGAGCGTTAAAAGTGTCAGTAAATATAAACATGCTTTTTACACTTGTCTGAGATTAAATGTAAAGATAGTTTAGTATTTACTTTCAAAAATATATATTATATAAATATATTATATTACTTTATTAACGTATTTATTAGTTTTTGAAAGAAGAGATTAATTGGTGTACGCCCCCTTAACGCTCATTATAGAATGTTGAATTCTATAGAGAAACTGACCATCAGGGACATCTTAAAACTTCGTGTCGATGTAGCCATTTTGTTTTATTATGGCGACGTTACCATTGTGGTAATGTAGCCATTTTTTTCTTCGTGGTGATCTTACCACGTTGTTTCATTGTGGTTACTTTGAATTCACCATGGCCAAATTATGGAAAATGGGGGGAAAAAAATCTGTATTTAACGATACTTGTATCACAAACGTTTGTACTGTTGATTTAAACTGTAACTTTTTAAGAATTATACTACATCTATACGTAATGTTTCAGTGAATCTTTTGTGTACCATCATTAGGCCTAACTGATACGTTTTTGTATTTGAATGAAGAAAAAAAAAGGTTGTTAAAACTGACAAAAGTATGGTCATCAGCGGTGGACAAGAAAGGGTCACCAGAAATGGAAATGAAATGGTCAACAGCACTGGGAAAAGAAGGGTAGCCACCACTGGGAATGACAGGGTCACCGTCTCTGGGAATGAAAGGATCTACACCACATTGCTGACGACCCTTTCATTTCCAGGCTGATAACACTTTCTTTACCAGTGTTGGCTATCCTCTCATTGCCAGTTCTGGATGACCTATTCTTTCCCAAGTACTGGCGATCCTTTCATTCCCAGAGACGGTGACCCTTTCAATCCCAGTGGTGGCTACCCTTCTTTTCCCAGTGCTGTTGACCATTTCATTTCCATTTCTGGTGACCCTTTCTTTACCAGTGTTGGCTATCCTCTCATTGCCAGTTCTGGATGACCTATTCTTTCCCAAGTACTGGCGTAGTCAGATTACGTGTTGTTGTAGTGTAGTTTTAGTCAGATTACGTGTTGTTGTAGTGTAGTTTTAGTCAGATTACGTGTTGTTGTAGTGTAGTAGTCAGATTATGTGTTGTTGTAGTGTAGTTTTAGTCAGATTACGTGTTGTTGTAGTGTATTAGTCAGATTACGTGTTGTTGTAGTGTAGTTTTAGTCAGATTACGTGTTGTAGTGTAGTTTTAGTCAGATTACGTGTTGTTGTAGTGTAGTAGTAAGATTACGTGTTGTTGTAGTGCAGTTTTAGTCATATTACGTGTTGTTGTAGTGTAGTTTCAGTCAGATTACGTGTTGTTGTAGTGCAGTTTTAGTCAGATTACGTGTTGTTGTAGTGCAGTTTTAGTCAGATTACGTGTTGTTGTAGTGTAGTTTTAGTCAGATTACGTGTTGTTGTAGTGTAATTCTAATATCTCTCCTTTCCTCATAGCATCGACAAAACCAACGATAACTCGGACAGGACTTGGCAACGATCGTTCAGTTTTCTACGTCGCGGAAGTAGTCGGAGAAAGCGCCGCGGTGGAGACAATGAGCAATCCGAATCTCAGGTCTGGTAGTGAGAATGCATGCTTACTTGGTTGGTTACATGAGGGTTTGATCACACTGCACGCATGGCTGACACACCCACAGCAGCATGTAAAGCAATGTGTTAAAGTTGCATGAACATTTTTTTTTCAACATTGCTTGAGATTCATTTTCCCGTGAATCTGTGAAGTTTATAAAATAGAAATAATAATTAATTATTGGTTTGATAATGATCGTGTATGATTAAATGAAGGGTTATTAAGAAATATGATTCGCGACTGAATTTTGTGGGTTTGTGGTAGATCTCAAGTGTTCTTTTTTAGGGTTTCCTAATCCTGGTAATAACCTTCACCCACCCCCGACATACAACAACACGTAATCTGACTAAAACTACACTACAACAACACAGATTCTGACTAAAACTACACTACAGCAACACGTAATCTGACTAAAAGTACACTACAACAATACAGAAAGTAATCTGACTAAAACTACACTACAACAACACGTAATCTGACTAAAACTACACTACAACAACACGTAATCTGACTAAAAGTACATTACAAGAACAAGTAATCTGACTAAATCTACACTACAAAAACACGTAATATGACTAAAACTACACTACAACAACAAGTAATCTGACTAAATATTGAGCTTATCAACTAGTGATCTTGTGTGTGGCATGAATGAGATAGTGTATTTTTGTAGACGTTATTTGTCTGATAATTCGGTAAAAGACAAAGTATTTGAACAATGAACAGATTACGGTTTCTTCAATAGACTTACCCAAATATATTGTCTCTAAAATGATTGAATAATTCCAAGAACAACAGCGAAAACTAATTAAAGTGTTCCATGTACATTCATTCTAATCTTAGTAGCTTCATGATTAATTTAGTGTTAAGACTAATTAACTATTTGTTTATTATTTTTAGGTGTTCGTGAAAATCTTCCAAAGGGCTAGCCATCCCTAGTTTAGAGTTTATTGTGTAGAACCACTGGTCAAGAGCACACCTTAAACTATTCTTGGGCTATTCTAATTTAATATTGTTATTTCACAGTTACTATTATAGGGCATACATTGCCCAAAAGTACAGAGTGCGATTTTATTGCAATGGGATGCAAACCATAGACCCTCGGATTTACGGTTCAGCACACTAGCTTCTAGGCTACACCTAGCACAAACTAGTAAGTCAAATCAATTAAC